CAGGCTGTGTCGGGGCTATCCCAGCGCTCCGCAACCCATGCTAGCAGCTGCTGCAGCAGTGACAGTCAGGAGTCATCAGGGAGCAGCAGCTCCAGCACTGACAGCCAGGAGGCATGACAGCCATGCCACAGTTCCCTGGCACCAGACACTGGCACTGCAACAATCGGGCCATGCCACGGCTCCCCAGCGTGCTCCCAGTTGAAGCGTTGCACCCAAACTACCTACACGTGGCCCAGAAGGCAGCAGGAGAGAAGCCAGCAGCCGCCACCATGTGGTAAAAGGAGCACCCACAGCCAGGCAGTGAGAGGCTGTCCCAGGGCTCATCAACACCTGAGACCAGCAGCCCCAGCGCCAGCAGGCAGTGGCCATTGGCGGCATCTTCTGGCTCCACAGCACTGGAAAGCGGCAGCAGCCCTGTGGCGTTTCACGACACGGACTCGAGTTGATGCAGAGACTCAAATCCTCGTTTATTACCGCCAAGCCCTTTTTATCCCCTTGTTCAGTGCTTTCCCTACCTGCTCATACATACAAGGTTCAAAACAAACATTCTTAAGACAATTTTTTCACTCGTGCTCCTAGCCTAGCAAATAAACAGTTTAAGAACCGTTAGCCTTCTGCACTAACAATTGGGTTTGAACTACATAAAGAAAATACAGATACAGATACACCCAGCTTTGGGACAGAAGTCTTGCTCCCAGCAGCTCCACAGAGGCTCCAGCACAGGAGCCTGCTCTGCCAGGTGGATTTGCGGTCTGCGACCTGTTGCAGAATGACTCTAAGTGCAGGACCATAGAGTTCTGGAGGACTGTGCAAGCAAGGCAGGGGGTGGCCCCCAGAGGTAGCCAGAGACCGGACCTGGGAGGAGAATGTGGAGGAAGCTGTGGGGGCTAACCAATACTGTTATGCCAAGAAGGAGTGGCTGAATACCACTCCTATATATGTGTGAACTGCGTCACAAATAAAGAAGAAGTTGCTTATCACCCATATTGGGTTGGCCTGTCTGCTTCTCCTCGCCGCTTACAAATGGCGCCCGAACAGGGACGCGGATTACAGGGCCCCGGTCGCTGGGGACCCGGATTACAGGGCCCCGACTAGCGGGGACCCGGGATACAGGGCCCCGACTAGTGGGGACCCGGATTACAGGGCCCCGACTAGCGGGGACCCGGGATACAGGGCCCCGACTAGTGGGGACCCGGATTACAGGGCCCCGGTCGACGGGGACCCGGATTACAGGGCCCCGGCCGACGGGGACCCGGGATACAGGGCCCCGACTAGCGGGGACCCGGATACAGGGCCCCGGCCGACGGGGACCCGGGATACAGGGCCCCGACTAGCGGGGACCCGGATACAGGGCCCCGGCCGACGGGGACCCGGGATACAGGGCCCCGTTTAACGGGGACCCGGAATACAGGGCCCCGGTTTAACGGGGACCCGGGATACAGGGCCCCGGTCGACGGGGACCCGGAACGGCGAGTGAGCGGCGCCGGCGGCAGCGGCCGGGAAGCGCGGGCAATGCTGCTGCGGTGGCGTGACGGACCCGGGTGCTTCGACTAACCGAAAGAATCCGCCGCTAGGGCGAACCAGACTGCTGCGCCGGGAGGCCGGTCCGGAGACCGAGGTTACAGGACGACCCAGAAGAAGACGATCCGGAAAAGGCTGGCCATGAAAATGGACCGAGAGGTAGCCCTGGACTTATTACAGTGCTTCTTATAAAAGCGGGGAACTGAGCCCTGAACTTTTTACAGTGCTTTTTATAAAAGCGGGGAATTGAGCCTGAGACTCTAAAGCAGCTAGCAGGTCTAGTGGCTAGGGAAGGCTAAGAGATTTTTTTTGCAGATCCTAATACAATATTTGAGGAGAGTGAGTGGCGAAAGTTTGGTGATGAACTATTTGACTCAGTGCTTAATGATTATAAAAAGGCAAAGAAACTCGGTAAACCACGGAGGGAAGTAATGAACTGTATAAAAAGATACAAGGCAGAAAAGAAAAGTGCCGCGGTAGCAACGGAGAAACTAGGAACAGACGTCCTCGGTCGGTTGAAACCGGGGGAAGATTACAACTCGTTCCCCCCCCCCAACTCGCGGGAGCACAGGGTTTCCCACCCCCCCCACCCCGCACCCCCCCCTTTTCCTTTTCTCCCCCTCCATCAGAAGGTGCCGCGGAGGAGGTGTAACCCCCCTGCTCCCCCACCACCCGAGTTCCGAAAGTAGGGACTTTGAAAAGGACAGAGAAAGTATATTAGAAGGTATACGCATGATAAATGTCGAGAAATCCGAAAGAAAAAGGGCGGTGCCTCGGCGCCGGATCGATTGCGGCGCCACTGTGAAGCACGCAGTAGAAAATAGGGATCATGCGCGAGCGGGAGATTTAAAGGAACCGCGAGCCTTTCCAACCCACTACGCCCTAGAGTGAAAAAGTTTTTAATTCAGTCACGGAGGAGCCAGGTCTGCAGATGGCTACATACCGAACGAGATACACCTGATTAGAAAGACACAGCTGCGAGCAACGGAGACCCCGAGTTCGGCGCAGGATCAGCCCCCGAATCCCCTGAATCCGAGCCAGATTTGTATCCTCTGCTTCCAGACCCTGACTCTTTGTCTCCCGGGTCGGTCTGCTCAGACTTACTGGCTCTGGAGACGCTCAGTTGTAACAACGGGTAACCAAATATGTGATCATTACTGGGGAATTTTCTGCAATGGGCATCTCTACATATCCTGTGTTTACTACACAGCAGGGGGCTAAAGAGTGGGAAGCTCTTGATCTCAAAATAGTTAAGGAGGCCTGACAAACAGTGACCACGTATGCGTTAAAATCCTCTTATACTCAAGCTGTATATATTATGATTTTTTCTTGCAGTTGACAGGGGGAGCCCATACAGTTTCTCTGTGATACTCATGTACTAGAAGTTGGTAAATATAAGTATGTCCAGGTTTCTATCAACCCTTGGAGACCTCTGTAGATACTGCTGGCCACTTCTTCCAGCACAGGCTGGCCACCTGTGTTGGAATGAGTGTGCATTTTGGTCAGTATAAAAGCCCAAGCCTCATACGATGTGGGGGAGGCAGAGCCTCTGCGGGGACGCCCGCTAAGGTTGAGCCTGCCACCTCACACTGCAATGATGCTTCTCGGAGCTGGTTTGCTGTTAAGTCTCCACAGGGTCCTTGTTCTCTTGTTCTGTACGTGGGCCTGTAGTGGGAGTAATGATGGCTTTTGCATGGACTAAAAAAAAAAAAAAAAGGGGGGGGGAGAGAGAGAGTAATGATGTTACATTTAACTTTAACCTGTCTAACCTGTCTACTTCTGAAGAACTGATAACCTGGGGGAGGGGGTATATTTGTGTCCTCCTGCCTACAGGTCCATGGTGACTGCCTGCAAAGTTTGTCAAGCCTTGCCATGAGCTGGACAGACGAATGGATAAACCTGATGCCTCAGCTACAGGAGCTGACCGTGATTACCCCAAGCAGAATGAGATGGAGGAAGAGAAAGAACAAATAACTGCAAAACATCACTTGGGGGCAACTGAAAAGTAACATCCTGAATATGTGTGCTTGTAAAATAGCTATTATTAGAGGTTGTGATTTTGTGTATAAAACCACCTGTATTTACTAGCTAGTTGCTAATAAGAAACTGCACCTTGTATTGTATAGATTTGTCACTTGTAAAAGAGATGTTAGAGTATGGAAATTTGCAGTAGCTGCTAGAAAATGCTAAGGCAAAAGCTAGAAAAATTTTAATACAATGGTAGTGTTATAAAGCAGGTGATGGAACAAATTAAGAGGGGGGGGAGAATTCCACTGGTAAGAAATTTCTTTGGCTAGTCCTTCACTGCCATCAGCATCTTCAACATGCTGCTGCACCCTGTAATAGTTACTCTGCTAATGTAAATGTGTGTGTGCCTTGCTGTAGTAGCGACTTGTTACTGGATAAAAGAAAAGGGGGGAGATGTGGAGACAGTGTTCTCACAGGAGAATGCATAATTGGTACATAAACTTTGAATAGTCCTGAAAGATACAGCAAGGCCATGAGAGGCCTGAAGAAGTTTAAGCAAGCAAGATAAGAGGCTGGAATTCACCAAGTTAATGAGAACTGTGGACTGTTGGCAAGCTTTCAAGGTTGAGTTCTCACACCTGTGTTTAACCAATTATATGTTAGTCACTAAGGGTCTTCAAAACATGTATCCAATCATAATATGCCAAATCACCGTAAGTGCTTGGCTCAACTAAGCAGACTGGGTTGCTGAGTTGCTAAGCAGACAATTCTACATCGAAGGCAATTCCTGATTTGTTTTAATGTTGACTCTGTAAGACATGCAACACTGCAGAACCTTTTGTTGTTGGAACAGGGACATGGATGTGAAGAGTTTGATAGAATGTGTTGTATGAGTCTCTCTGATTATGCTAATTCGATACACGCACAGCTGAGAACCCTGGCTCAGCTTACCCAGCACTAGTAAATGAGCAATATCCTAAGAATAACTAGATGGTTGTCTTCACGGGGCATTACAGGTTGAGTCAAACACTGTTGTTTGAAGTATTGCACTTATGTATCATTGTTAGGTTAATCATCGTAGCTATTAGACTTGTTTATAGTTGTGTGATAAAACAGGTGAACAGAATAACCCATAATGCCTTGCTTGCACAAAGAAAAAGGGGGGAATTGTTGCAGAATGACTCTAAGAGCAGGACCATAGAGTTCTGGAGGACTGTGCAAGCAAGGCAGGGGGTGGCCCCCAGAGGTAGCCAGAGACCAGACCTGGGAGGAGTATGTGGAGGAAGCTGTGGGGGCTAACCAATGCTGTTATGCCAAGAAGGAGTGGCTGAATACCACTCCTATATATGTGTGAACTGCGTCACAAATGAAGAAGAAGTTGCTTATCACCCATATTGGGTTGGCCTGTCTGCTTCTCCTCGCCGCTTACAGCGACCCAGCAGTGGCCACGTTCTGCGCCCTGCCCCGAGGTGTCGGTCTGGCTGTGGAGGCCCTGAGGCTGCCGCTGATGGGGGCTGCTCTGCTCTTTCCAGGATTGCTTCGTGTGTGGCGAGAGGGGGGCCACCATCACCTGCCAGGAGGTGGGCTGCGACCGCAGGTTCCATCTCCCCTGTGCCGTGGAGGGTGAATGTGTCACCCGTTATCTCCCGCCGTCCAGGTACCTCCTCTCCCCTCCACACCATCACCAGGGAATGACCCAGCGCTTCTCATCTCACCCATCCCTTCCTTCTTCCCCCAGGTCCTTCTGCCAGGAGCACCACCCACAGCAGCAAGATCTGGTGGCTCCAGAGGGCACCGTCTGCCTCATCTGCATGGACCCTGTTGAAGGCAGAACGACCTATGGGACCATGGTGTGCCCAGCATGCAGAACCACCTGGTTCCACAGGGCCTGCATCCAGGTAGGAGCTGTTCTCTTGCTCTGGGCATGGCAGGCTCTCAGCAGTCGCAGAGCCTCACTCGCGCTCTTTATGTTTCTCCTGCAGGAACAGGCTATGCATTCTGGAATTTTGTGCTTACAGTGCCCTCTGTGTAGAAATCGGTATCAGTTTCTTCTGGAAATGATAAACATGGGGATCCAAATCCCCTTCAGGTTAGTGTCCTCCTGGCCAACACTGGCCCTCTGCTGTCCCCTGAGTCTGGGCTTTAGCTCCATGGAGGAGTTGGAAATAGGGTGTGGGGGGAAGAGCGGGGAGGCCCCACATATGCCTTATGCTGAGGCAGCAGGGGCTCATCAATTTTCCTTTCTCCACCAGAGAACCGTCATAGGAAGACAACGATGCATACGCAGAACTGCTCCAGAGGCACGGCCGCTGCGATGCCAGGGAGTGCCTTTGTCCAGGAGGCAGACGGGTGGCAGAGCCAGACGGGTAAGTTGCCAAAGCTGCACCCCGGGGCTCCGCACGGGATCTCTGTCTCAGCAAGGGCTTGAAGCAGAAGGGATGAAGGGAAGAGCTCTGCTGGGCAATCCCGTGCTGTGGGCGCTTTATCCTCAGAGACATGAACCCATTTCTTTCCCCAGGCCCTGGCAGCTGTTCCTGTGCTGCTCCTGTGCTGCTGAAGGCACACACAGATGCTGCTCCAACTTGGGGAACAGCCGTGAGGCCAGATGGGAGTGTGACAGCTGTGCTGGCCTGGGCACCTGTAAGTGTCAAAGCACCTGGGTGCCCCTGGGCTGGGGCCAGGGGCCAGGCAAGGCCTGGCAGTGGGTGCCTGGTATGGGCTTGGCAGAGTCTGTCTGCTCCAGGAGGGCTGGGGCACCGCTCAGGCCTACGCTGCCCCAGGCCTGGGAGCCAAGCCCTTAACCTTCCTGCTTCCCCTTGCAGCCTCCAGTGCCAGATTAGAGCTTACCGCTCCCAGCACTGTCAGCCCAGCAGCATCATGGCAGTCTCCTGGATCTCTGGAAGTGGAGTCCAGCAGACCCAGCACCAGCAGCCAGGCAGCAGCGGGGCAAACTCTGGGACCTGAGGCACAGGAGACCAGCAGCCCAAGCAGTGTCAGACAGATGCCATCAGGGCCATGCCACGATTTCCCAGTGTGTGAGGGCAGCAGCCGTTCCAGCTCCCCTGGGCCCGATCAATGGCGACACCAAACCCGGGACAACCAAGAGACCCAGATATCAGACACACGGAACAGAGGAGAGCGGGAGAGAAACCGAGCGTCAGCAACATGTGCTGCGAGCAGCACCCGCAGACAGGCGGTGCCAAAACTGACACAATGCTCCCCATGAGGTGGGACCCGCAGCCGGAGCACCAGCAGGCAGCAGCCATCGGCGGCATCCTGTGGCTCTGCACCACGGCAAAGAAGCAGGAGCAACAGACCCAGTGGGCCCGTGTGGGTGCGACACCGTTCCCCCTTGCAGTGTCGGGCCCAGGCTCCCTACGCACAGCCCAGAAGATGCTCCCAGAGGAGGAGTCGCACACCAGCAGCTCGAGCTGGGAGGAGCCCCCGCAGCCAGGCTGCAGCCAGGCTGTCCCAGTGCTCACCAGCACGTGCGAGCCACAGCCGCAGCACCACCAGACAGCGGCCGTCAGCATCATCCCGTGGCTCCAGAGCACGCCAAAGAGAAAGCGCCTCAAGATCCACCGGGCCCGTGCGGGTGCGAGAACGTTCCCGCTTGCAGCATCAGGCCCAAGCTCCCAGCACACAGGGCAAAAGACGCCGTTAGAGCAGCCACACGCCAGCACCACGTGCAAAGAGGTGCACGCTCAGACAGGCTGTGTCGGGGCTATCCCAGCGCTCCGCAACCCGTGCTAGCAGCTGCTGCAGCAGTGACAGTCAGGAGTCATCAGGGAGCAGCAGCTCCAGCACTGACAGCCAGGAGGCATGACAGCCATGCCACAGTTCCCTGGCACCAGACACTGGCACTGCAACAATCGGGCCATGCCACGGCTCCCCAGCGTGCTCCCAGTTGAAGCGTCGCACCCAAACGGCCTACACGTGGCCCAGAAGGCAGCAGGAGAGAAGCCAGCAGCCGCCACCATGTGGTAAATGGAGCACCCACAGCCAGGCAGTGAGAGGCTGTCCCAGGGCTCATCAACACCTGAGACCAGCAGCCCCAGCGCCAGCAGGCAGTGGCCATTGGCGGCATCTTCTGGCTCCACAGCACTGGAAAGCGGCAGCAGCCCTGTGGCGTTTCACGACACGGACTCGAGTTGATGCAGAGACTCAAATCCTCGTTTATTACCGCCAAGCCCTTTTTATCCCCTTGTTCAGTGCTTTCCCTACCTGCACATACATACAAGGTTCAAAACAAGCATTCTTAAGACAATTTTTTCACTTGTGCTCCTCGCCTAGCAAATAAACAGTTTAAGAACCGTTAGCCTTCTGCACTAACAATTGGTTTTGAACTACATAAAGAAAATACAGATACATATCCATTTTTACAATCTTAATCATTCAGTTTAGGACCATAGAATCCTACAATAGTTAGGGATGGAAAGGACCTTAAGATCACCAAGTTCCAGCCCCCCTGCCATGGGCAGGGACACCTCTCACTAAACAATATCACCCAAGGCCTCACCCAACCTGGTCTTGAACACCACCAGAGAGGGAGCATTCTCAAATTCCCTGGGCAACCTGTTCCAGTGCCTCACCACCCTAACAGGAAAGAATTTCCTCCTTATATCCTATCTAAACTTCCCCTGTTTAAGTTTTAACCCGTTACCCCTTGTCCTATCACTACAGTCCCTAATGAAGAGTCCCTCCCCAGCATCCCTATAGGCCCCCTTCAGATACTGGAAGGCTGCTATGAGGTCTCCACACGGCCTCCTCTTCCCCAGGCTGAACAGCCCCAACTTTCTCAGCCTATCTTCATACGAGAGGTGCTTCAGTCCCCTGATCATCCTCGTGGCCATTCTAGGGACTTGTTCCAACAGTTCCATGTCCTTTTTATGTTGAGGACACCGCAACTGCACACAATGCTCCAGGTGAGGTCTCACAAGAGCAGAGTAAAGGGGCAGGATCACTTCCATCGACCTGCTGGTCACGCTCCTTTTGATGCAGCCCAGGATACGGCTGGCTTTCTGGGCTGCGAGCGCACACTGAAGCTGGCTCATGTTCATTTTATCATTGAAAATTTCTTGCGACTGTATTTTTACGCCCCTCCAGCCATCCCACGTGTCCTCAGGATTCCAGGCCGCCATTGCTTTCAACAGCAGTCTGAAAGGACTCGTAGGTGTGGCAACTGACAGGCACAGGGTGTCTTGTCCTGTCGTATTGGCTAATGTTCTACAGATGTTCTCTTTTGGCTGGGCTGGAAACCAAGGCAGGGTTATTCCTCTTGTAATGAAGAGACAGAAGACAAGGCAGGACGAACCCATCAAGCAGGGACCCAACAAGGGCCTTTGTCTTGTTATCCAAGAATATCCGTTTTGTTTTATCCCAGGGTTACTTCCATTCCTTCTTTGCTTAACACTCGTTATTTTTCTTCTCTTTCAGCAAGGGGTTGCTGGTAAATTTGGCAGAGTCTTGCCTATCGTACACCTTCGGATCAACAGAAGAAGAAAATAGCCTTTTCCTCTTGGTTGGGCATAGGCACGATTTCCTGCTTTCTTTTGTCATGTAGGGAAACATTCTGACGGGCAACTGTCAGATCCCGCCTCCTTTGCAGATGAGAGAGGTCAGCCTGTGTCCAGGCCACACTTGCAAAGAAAGAGCAAAGATGCAAGTTCTACCCAAGAACGGAATCCCAGCCCTTCCACCCAGCTCTGGGACAGAAGTCTTGCTCCCAGCAGCTCCACAGAGGCTCCAGCACAGGAGCCCGCTCTGCCAGGTGGATCTGTGGCCTGTTACCCAGCAGCGGCCACATCCCGCGCCCTGCCCTGACGTCTGGGTCTGGCTGTGGAGGCCCTGAGGCTGCCGCTGATGGGGGCTGCTCTGCTCTTTCCAGGACTGCTTTGTGTGCGTCGAGAGGGGGCCACCATCACCTGCCAGGAGATGGGCTGCGACCGCAGGTTCCATCTCCCTTGCGCCGTGGAGGGTGAATGTGTCACTCATTACCTCCCGCAGCTCAGCTACCTCCTCTCCCCTCCTCGCCGTCACCAAGGAGGGGCCCAGAACTTCTCTTCCCCCAGATCCTCAGAGTCACAGAAATCATTTAGGTTGGAGAAGGCCCTAAAGGTCATTGAGTCCAACCGTTAAGCTAACACTGCCAAGTTTACCAGGAAACCATGTCCCTAAGCTGGCCCTTGACTCTGCACCTGCAGGTGGAGCAGCCACCCCGGTGAGCTGGGTGCCAAGGGCTCAGGTCCCTGGCTGTGCTTCACAGCCAGCCCTGTGATGCAGTGTCCATGTCACGGGGGGGGGGGTGTGTGGCCGAGGGTGCCCCTGCCTGTATTTGGGGCACACGCAGGCCAGCGGTGCTGATGTCACAGAGGCCACTGTGACCGGTGGCGAGGGCAGGCCTATAAAAAAGGGAACGCTGGGCACAGCGCATCACTGCGACCTGGTGAGGCGTGGGGAGTAGAGGGCAGGGACAGGGCTCTCGGGGGGCTGCTGAGGGAGGACGGGGCTCCACACCGCAGGGCTCTGGGCCTGTGCTGCAAGCTCACCCGTGTCCCTCTTCTCCCTCAGAGGTAGCAGAGGAGCATCTGGAGAAGACGCCCCAGCGCTGCTGGGACAGAGACTCTCCAAACGCCCACCTTTGATGTCTGACACCTCTGCAAGGAGGTGTAGGACACCCGACTCGATGGAGCAGGGTGAGAGCAAAGTCCCCCTCCTACAGCCTGGCAGAGGGACTCCTGAGGCTGTCAGGGTGGCACCGGGAGCATTGGCAGGGGGAGGCAGGAGCTCCAAAGCCACCCTGGGGGAGGGCCCCTCCTCTCCTTGGCAAGCAGGACCAGGGCTGGGCAGTGCACACCCTCCGGGACACCCATGCCTGCAGTGCCCTTTCCTCTCCAAGGCTTGCAGCCCTGCCCAGCAGCCAGATAGGTAGAGACAGAGCAGCCCTTGGGGGCAATCCCTCAGGGACGCATCCCTGGCCCCACAGAGGTGCTCGTTCTCAGTGCCATTTGCTCTCTCCTCTCCAGCATGTGTGCTGTGTCGCCAGGCAGAGGCAGACCCGAACATCTGCGGGCCAAAACTGGTTACTCAAGGTTTCTGCGCCCATCTGTTTTGCCTGGTGAGTTCCTCTGGGGCTGGCTTCATCTTTGCAACACACCAGCCCTGACACATGCCCCTCATCAGCTCCTTGTCTCTTCTGCAGCTTTTGGCCAGTGAGCTTCATCCAGAAGACACTGAACAGGAAGGAGAGATCAGATTTTCCTGTACGGATATTCAACGTACAGTCGAGCAGGCAGCCCAGATGGTGAGGATCTGAGATGATCTGAGTGATTTGTGCCAGGAGAGGTTTGTGGGAGCTTAGCTCAGACGACAGGGACACAATCCCAGCCCTTCCACCCAGCTTTGGGACAGAAGTCTTGCTCCCAGCAGCTCCACAGAGGCTCCAGCACAGGAGCCTGCTCTGCCAGGTGGATTTGCGGTCTGCGACCCAGCAGTGGCCACGTTCTGCGCCCTGCCCCGAGGTGTCGGTCTGGCTGTGGAGGCCCTGAGGCTGCCGCTGATGGGGGCTGCTCTGCTCTTTCCAGGATTGCTTCGTGTGTGGCGAGAGGGGGGCCACCATCACCTGCCAGGAGGTGGGCTGCGACCGCAGGTTCCATCTCCCCTGTGCCGTGGAGGGTGAATGTGTCACCTGTTATCTCCTGCCGTCCAGGTACCTCCTCTCCCCTCCACACCGTCACCAGGGAATGACCCAGCGCTTCTCATCTCACCCATCCCTTCCCTCTTCCCCCAGGTCCTTCTGCCAGGAGCACCGCCCACAGCAGCAAGATCTGGTGGCTCCAGAGGGCACCGTCTGCCTCATCTGCATGGACCCTGTTGAAGGCAGAACGACCTATGGGACCATGGTGTGCCCAGCATGCAGAACCACCTGGTTCCACAGGGCCTGCATCCAGGTAGGAGCTGTTCTC